GGGCACCAATTGCCGAATCACTCTCTGGCTATGTGCTTAGCACCAGAGCCTGGCTGCCAACAGGACAGGGTGCAGCTGTGACTGGCCAGCCTGACCACACCCGATTGATGAGCAGGAGCTGGGGGACTCCTGGGCCTGTGCAAGGTGTTACTGAGCGTCAGAATTTGGGGACCTGGAGGGATGACGGGATGGCAGGAGGGACGCAGGATGCCCAAGAGGGACCTGTGAACTCATGAATGCCCACGGTGACCTCGAACTCCCGCCCAGCCCTGTGCGCACCTCTCAGAGGCGGAGGAGCTGGGGCACAGGAGCAGCCGTCCACTGGGCTCTGCTGCAGGAGCTGTGACAAAACACTGGGGTGAGAGTCCGCTCCCACCTCAGCACCATCCGCGGCTCGACCCTCACAGCAGTGACTTCACTTACTTGAAACTGGATTTTTCATTGTGCCGAAGGCTGTGAGTTGGGACGATCTCATACTAAACAGATGGGTAAAAGGTATTAATTAAACCATAAAAATTTACTTTCAGCCCATTCATTCCAACTGGAAGGGCAGGTCTGAGACAGCCAAGTGCCCTGCCTGGCCCTGTGCCCCTTCGTCCCTCACCAGCCGCATTCACCCGCCCAACAGGCTCACCTTCCTCCCTGAGGACGAGCACCTGGCTCCGGGAGGACCTGAGGGACTACTGACTACAGTGGCAGTGCTGGGCTTAGCCCCTCTGAAGCACAATTCCCGCGTCCAAACGACCATGAAACTGAGCGTGTGGAGGGGTGTCTCCCCCAAGACAACGGGACAGAAAGCCAGCCGCAGAGAGGCCTGTGCCTCAGGACAAATGCTTGGGCGGGGTGAATAGCAAGAAGGTCGGCCAGCGGCCAGTGGGGCGCACGGGCCTCCCTGCAGGAAAACGCAGGGCCTGGCTGTGGGTGGTGCCTTCCCCTTCAGGGCCCTCACTCTCCAGATGTGGGGTGCTGGCTCTCCTCCCTGGCCCTTCTGCATCTCAGGGGTCACGAGGATCCTACAGGAAGCCACGCGGCTCATCATTGCTGCTGCTTTGCCTCCACTCCTGCCCTGTACTTTCCGCAGCACTCGACTCTGATGGAAGCTTCTGGGAGGCAGGGCTTTCTTTTGCCCCTCCGTCAGAGCCCTGGTCTCTTTCGGGGTGGCGGGGTGGAGTTAGGGCTGTGGTCGCGGAAGTTAGAACTTCAGTCTACAATGAGTCCAGCAGACACCCGCTGGGCTCCAAGGGGGACTTACCTTTGCAGCTGCTCTACCCGGAGCATGGACTTCCCGAGGGACTCTTCCAGCCTGGCAATCTAAACACAAAGCAGTGGCTCCTGGTTACAACCGACTGTGCCAAGTGACAGTGCAGAGAAGACACGGGAAGCTTTTACTCCTCAATTCTTACACCTGAGTCTGAATATGAGTCATGAGGGAGTGGCCTGGGCCATGGGGCAGGGTTCAGGGGGCAGATGGGGCTGTGGCCAGGTGTGAACACTCTTTGATCACTACCCAGGGGGCTGGGGATGGGCAGTGACAGCCTCACACCTGCCATGTTGCACTGAGAGAGGAGGCGGGGCCATAGGACGGACACCAGGCAGCTCCCAGACTCAAGCAGGTGGCTGCAGGATCTGTGGCTTCAAAGCCAGGCCCCTGACCCTAGTGGTCAGAGAGCCGGCCTGCACACGGGAGGACCAAGGGTTCTATTCCTGCACAAGGGCACACACCTGGGATGCAGGTCCAACCCCCCAGCCCTAGTCAGGGTGCATGCAGGAGGCAACCAATCGATTCTCTCACATCGATGTTTCTCTCTTCCCCTTCCTTCCACTTTCCCTAAAGTCAATGGGGAAAAAACACCTTTACTCCTCAGGTGAGAAAAGCAAGCACGATGGTCTGAGTGGATAGAGAAGCGTCTGAACTGCTGAGGCCCTGACAGCACCCCGGGACCAGGTGAGGAGGTGGCTCTGGGTGTGTCCTGTGGGCGTGACCCATGTCCTACGGGCTGACCTTGCCCCTTTGCCCTGACCGGCTGCTCTCCAGCTGCTCCCGCTCTTCCGCATCCTCTCTGTGTCTGTTGTCAACTGTCCCTCCAGGAGGTCGCATCCGAGTCAGCTGAGGCTGCCATGAGAGACTATTTCCCTGAAGCTTTACTTTACTTAGTTTACAAATCAAGGAAGGATGTTTGTGGGCAAAGGAGCAGGTGCTCCGAGCTTCCTGTGTAAGGACCAGCCAGCACTCATGAGAGTTGCTATTTATGAGAAAGTGCCTGAAGAGTTTGGGGGGACACCATGGGTCAGAAGTGGGCCCCAAGATGAAAGTAGCTGTGACCACAGCTGGCCCCAAACAGAGACCTGGAGGATGAGAACCGTGTAGCAGGCTGAGGGTCTGCAGGACAGATGGCAGATGCCCCTGGCCTGCCACCTGAGACGTGGTGTTCGTCACCAAGGTTGCATGAAGTGAAAAGGTCGCCCCCATGAGGCAGCAAGGTGACAGACTCACCTTTTCTCTGTAGAAGGCTAACAGTCTCTTCCTGTGCTTTTCTTGAAATTCTGAAATCTGAGAAGGTAACACAGCTCAGCTGCTGACAGTGGCACATGGCTACACTGTGCATTCCCTCCAGACACCCCTGATGTGAGCGCTGTCTGTGCCCGCATGAACGCAGTGGGCACATTCACATCCAGGGGAGCATGTCCCACTGAGGGTGGCGGAAACACAAGTGCAATGTCCCCCCCACCCTGCCGGGCGACACGACTCATGTAGGCTGACCACAGGGTGTCATTCCTTTGGCAACAGTGACTAGATCACAATGGCCTCCTGATAAAACTGCATCAACCAGGAACACCCTACGTGGACCAGGGCTGGGTGGGCTGAACGAGCTGAGGCAGAGACACGGAGAGCTTCCGAGAGCCAGTGCCGGAGTTTGGGTTCCCAGCTGCACCTTCCGTTCGCGGGAGCCTACCTTGCACATGGCCTGACTAGGCTCCTGAGTTACCAACTGCACTGACCCAGGGAGGGGACGTATTTGATGTCAGGGACATTTTCAGACAGGGAAATGGGAAGGCCCCTTGTGAAAAGGGGGACGGCCAGCCCCAGTGGGCCTCCAGTGCCTGCATGGTTGTGGCCATCTCCAGAAGATGGGACTGTGCTCCGAGTCCCCAGCAGCTTCACAGTCTCCAACTTCCTGGTTCCTGCATCTTCCCAGGGGTTTGCACGGTTGCTCGACACTGGGAAGACCCCAGGCTCACCTTTTGGCCTCGGACAGCCTGTACAGTCTTAAAGTTATTGCAGACCCCAAAGAGCTTTGCTTATGTGGCTTTTATCTGTCAATGTTCCCCCCACTAGAAATTAATACTGAGAGAAATTGAAAATGTTTATTATTCTAAAATAACAGTAAGCCCAACATGTTGACATAAACAGGGAGCCGTGGACCCCTCATGTTGGAGGCCTCTGGAAATCCCACGTGGCTCTGTGACAGGGATGGTGCCCAGAGGCATGGAGCGAGGTCACAGGGCAGCCAGCCACCTCCCCGTCCTCTCTCCACACCAGTGCAGGCACGTGGTCTGAAACAGAACTGTCACCTGCCTTCTTCTGAGGCCTCAAGAGGTTCCCAGGACCGACTGAAATGCTGTGTCCTTGGGGAGCCTGTTCCAGGCACAGCGCTGCCTGGGGTTCTGAGTGTCTTGTGTGAGGGCCTCCCCCCATTCATCAACAGAGGCAGCTGCTGGTCCCAGGGAACCTGGCCTGAGACGGTCTACTGCAAATGCTGCAATGAAATAGGCCCATGTCCCTGCCTGGCTCTCGCCTTGTGCTGACTCTGCGTCCTGGGACATCTACGTGCCCCCTGGGGAGCCTGCAGGGTGAGGGGCAGTAATGATATTGTGGGCACTGAGCCAGAAGCAGTCTCCAGAGGACAGGACAGTCCTGGTGGGCTGGCTGACCACGGCCTCCAGCAGGACAAGCCAATGGCCAAGAATGACAGGCGAGCAGTGCTGCCCCTGAGCCTGGTGCTAAGCCTCTTCAAAGGAGAGGCTGGTGGGAGGCGTCAACAGTGGGGGTTGGGGGACAGCACCATTAACAGAAGGGGTAGGCTGGGTGGGTGGGCAGAGGGAGGGCTCCTCTCCTGGGCAGTTCCTGGTGGACTGCAGGCCATCCAGTGACGTCCAGGAGGCCAGAGGTGCATCAGAACCCAGGAGGGCTTGGATCTACAACTTCAGAGGCTGGGCGGGGAGTGTGCCGCAGCAGAAAGGGCTCGGAAGTCAAATGCTGCACCCCGTGACCCAGGGCCCCCATCCCAACCTGAGAGTCTGAGGTCCTACTCAACTCGTGAGGATCAGCCAGACATCCAGACCACAGGGCATCTCGTTCCCACATCAGGGCAGGAAAGTGGAGCAGAGCAAATGGTATTGACACAGTGAGGACAGTGCAGGGGCAGAAAGCACCCACCTCCATGCCTCCAAGTCCCTGGGGTCTGCTCTCTAGGGCGAGATCACTGACTCTGGGTTGTCACAAAACTGGCTCCCACGGCTGACAGCACACGCGTGCCCCGAGGAAGGCGCCACGTCCGCACTCACCTGGGAGGTCTCCTTGGAGTATTTGGTGCACAGACCATCTATGCCCATGAAGAGTGCCTGGATGCCTGCGTCCGTCTGGAAAAGAGAGAGACTGTCTCCGTTTGCTGCCCTGACACTTGCTCACAGCACGAGCACAAAGGCAAACTGAAGATCCAGAATGACCTGTGGGGACACCCAGGGTCAGCGCTTCCCTCAGTGTCTCCAAGGGGCACTGGGCTGCCTGCTTCCTGGCTGCCTGGGGCTGTGGGGTGATGGCAGTGCCACCGCCTCCCGGGATAGAAGGGCAGTGAGCCCCGCAGTGGGTGGAACCCCCAAGGCTACACATCCTGATCTGTCAGGCGAGACCCAGAACCAGGGCCAGCAGACCCAGAAGACTCAGAACCTGCCCTCCCTGTTCCTGCCTCTGCTTCAGAACCGTCAGTGTGACAGGCATCAGAATGGGAGTGTGAGCCCATCCACTTAAATTGCTTGTGCTCCCCATGTTCCACAGCAATGACAGTAAAACTGAGGTCAGGGAGGAAATTCGGTCAGTGGTAGCAACTAGAAAATGTCCTGGAAGGCAGTGCCTCAGGAACTCCTGGAGCACGGAGCAGAGGGCCTTGGCAGGCCCAGCCTGAGAGCTGTGGCAGGCCAGGGGAAGCAGCTCCAAATCCATGTCTAGACCCTGGAGGGACAGGCCACGCAGGGTGTCCAGACAGCGGGGTCCCTGCGCCCAACCACAGTTAAGTCATAAGCAGTGTGGAACACGGATGGGGCAGGGGCTACAGGTCCCCTGTTCTGTACTAACTCAACCTGCCACCCTGGCCCATCGCCACACACCTCAGAGCCTGGTTCCTGGGCAGCGGAAACAAAAACAGTGCCTCCCTGAGGGCCTCGGGAGCCCCAGGCAAAAGTGCCCCTGACAGAGGGTGGTGGGCCTGGTGCTCAGGGGTGGAGAGCAAACGTTTTGTACAGATTTTCACACATACACAGGCGCACCCAAAACAAGAGGAAGAGTGCCACGTCCAGGATAAAAGCAACTGGATATACTGTCACTGATGAACTCAGATCCACAGTTTCTGTGGCGGTAGAAGTCACTCAACATGTGAGAGACTCGGAGTGGACAGACAGGTGTGGCTTCACTCTACGTGGGCAGGACTCTAAGTGGGCTTGGGTGTAGTGAGTAGAGACACCAAGAGCCTCCACTCCTATAACTGAGTCCCTGACAGGTTGCGGGGTCTCCCTGAAGCTCGGCAGGATATTACACAGGACAACCAAACTGTGAAAAGCCAAAGATAACCAGGGAGCGATGTTATCCAAGACACAGCAAGCATTCATTTCCAGCAAAGAATCTTAACCCAGTGAAAATATGCATCACAATGGAGGCAGCTAGAGTCCCTCTGGAGGACTGTTGCTAACAGGCCTCACTGAAGGAGGAGACAAAAGGAATTCCCTTGGGGTGGAAAGTGACCCTCAGGGGCGGCAGTGAGGCTGGGAACAGGTGAGGAGCTGGAGGAAGCAGACTGTGGGAACCCAGGCAAGGCTGACTGCCTGGGGCAGTGATGTCTATGGGGTTTTCTTTCTCTATAGAGACAATAAGATACCGGAGGAGGCTCTGGCACTGCCGGGGGATCTGAGTCACATTAGACTTTAAAGGCAAGACCACAGGCTGTGGTCTTCAGGCCTCCACACACCAGTGTTCCTGGAGCTGAGGGCTGGTCATGTTCAGATCATGAAGAATTCATTGAGTTATGCACTTTTAATTTTTGCACTTTTCTGCATTTTTCTTCAATAAAAGTTAGTAAAAATGGTAACTGAAATCCCCAAACATTTATAAATTAGTCAACATACATGTGGGTCGCAGGAGCAATCAAGTAGAAGGTTGAAACTGTTCTGAAGTGACGCTAATGAAAACGTGCCGCAGTCAGGACAAGCCGAGAGGGACAGGCATGGCCTGTGATGTCCGCAGTAGGAAGGGCTGGACGCTGAGGCTCAGCACCCGTCTTAAAGAGCAAACTACACTGAAGAGGAAAGACAAGATGACAAGAACTCACAAAATAGAGCATGGGTGTGAAATAAAGATAAACAGAGCCAGAAACCAGTTCTTTGGAAATACAAATAAAAGTCAATAAACGCTTGACAAGATTGTTCAGGAAAAAAGAGAGAAGGCACAGTAACCACCATTAAGATGGAAAACGCGCATCATGACACATCTTAGCGACGCTAAAAATACCGAGGACTGCAAACGTGCTGATGACAGGACATTCAAAATTTTAGACGGCCCGGCTGACGTGGCTCAGCAGTTGAGTGTTGACCTATGAACCAGGAGACCAAGGTCTGATTCCCAGTCAGGGCACATGCCCAGTTGGGGCCGCGCAGAAGGAAGCCGATCAGTCATGTTTCTCTCGTGGATGTTTCTTTCTCTATCCTTTCTATCCCTTCCTCTCTCTAAAAAAAACCCCCCAAAAACCCACAAAACTTTAGATGACGTGCACACATTCCCAGAAAAATACAACTTACTTAAGTTGGCCTGAGAAGAATTAGGAACTCTGAAAAGTCACACGCCTAACAAAGACATTACATCCCTACTTAAAAACCTTCCCACCAAATCCCTTCCCAGTTCAGACAGCGTCACCTGTGCATTCTACTACATTTTACGAATTACCCCAATCTCGCAGACAGAAGGAAAAGTACCTGCACCTGCTTTCACGAAGCCCGCCCACCTGATTCACTGAAGCTTGGAAAGGGCACCCAAGAGCAGGGACCACAGGCAGGTCCCACACGGACATGAGTGCACAATGACTAGCTCATCTAAACAGGCGCTTGAGGCTGCCTCACACCAGGTCAGATTTATTCCTGGGAGCTGGTGCGGGTTTCAAGTTCTAACAGCAAACGCAATTCACCACACCAGCAAGACAAAGCAGAGTAACCAAATGATAATCTCAACAGCGACAGGAAAGCCTCTGGTAAAGTTCAGCACCGTTCATGATAAAGAGCCTTAGCCAAGAACCTACGGCAGGCACACACAGTACTTCACGGAAACGGTGGACTTCACCGTCCACCCAGAAATCAGGAGAGGCAAGGGCCACCCGTGGTTGGCACCCAAAGGGTTACCAGTCGGAAATATTAAGAGGTTATGAAGTCATCTTTGAAGATGGTGGGTGTGTCCAAAATATGTCAACTGAGAAAACACCATTTTTGTAAGACTAAATCCCAGTAGCACACACAGCAGGGGCGCCACTCCTGGCTTCTGTCATTGGGAAACAGGATCTGGGGACTTCCACAACCTCCACTGTGATCTTCTGCATCGTTTGCATAATGTGTAATGTTGTTTTATATTTGTAATCAGAAAAAAAGCAATTGTTAGAGATTAACACATCCGATCAAATACACATCTTGGAGCCTAAGTGTAAAGAAAAGATCACTTGTAACTAAATTTAAACCAAACAAGTTAAAACTGATGTATTTTAGAAAGAACAAAAGGCATTGTTTTAAGTCTACTGCAACAGTGATCAATTTTAAACCCATGTCCTTTCGACTCCTTCTTAACTAGATACGACTCCTGTGAGAAACCAGATTCTATCACCTTCGGGTTTTTTTGTTAATCTTCACCCAAGGATATTTTTTCCATTCACTTTTAGAGGACGGGAGACGTTGATGTGAGAGAGACACGCTGACTGGCTGCCTCCCGCATACACCCCAACCGGGGCCAGGGACAGAGCCTGCAACCACGGTGAGGTACGTACCCTTGGCCAGAGCTGAACCCACGATCCTCGGGCGGGTGGGCGGACGCTCTAACCACTGAGCCCACCAGCCAGGGCTCCATCACCTTCCTAGGGAGCTTGTACCGCACTGAAGAAATCTCTGTTCAGCACGTTTTCATTCCCAGGAACACAGCACCATAAATGTACAAACAGGCTTGTCTACAGTTACAGAGGTTGTACGAAGTATTCGAGACCAAGTCCTCATTGTACTTTCACCACTCAGAAATCCCGAAAGATCTTCTAGTTCACCGAACGAAATGAACGAAAAATTTAGACACCACGAAGGGCTCAAACCTGAATCTCAGATTTAAAAGGAAACGTGCACTGGTCAATACTCAAGAGACTACAGACCTCAACTTACGTGTTCTGAAAGTAAAACTGTACGACAGGGAACTTTACAAATCAAGCATTCGTCCTTTGGACCTGTAAAAGAAAAGCCAACGTCACATCCTCCGTAGTGCTTTTAAACACATAGAAATACAGACTTTAAATTAGCCCATTTGAGCCTCAACCTGGGATCCAGGAGATGGGGGTTTGATTCCCCGTCAGGGCACATGCCCGGGTTGTGGGCTGGATCAATGACTGTCTCATCATTGATGTTTCTATCTCTCTCTCCCTCTCCTTTCCTCTCTCTGAGATCAATAAAGATATATTTTAAAAATAAAAATAAAAAATAAATTAGCACACTTCTTCCAAGAAAACCACGCGGGGTGACAGCACGCACATCCCCTCACCGTCAGCCCGGGGGAGCCCGGGTGCGGGTGGAGTTGGGACCTGGCTGGAACGAGCGATCTCTTTTCCTGTTTTCCAAGCAGCGACCCTAAACATCCGCCGTCAGCCGTCCACCGGGCCTTTCTTAGGACTGGACTCTGCACAGCGTCTCCACGTGCAGACAGCGCCTGCGGCGGGGCCAGCCTGGCTCGACGCCGGGGCGC